CTATGTTGATTTCTGACATTCAAGGATCACATAGAAATCTTTGTGACTTCGAGAGTATACTTAATCAAGTTGAGAGACTCTATGTCACGAAATAACACCAATCATATTCTACAAGATATTTAACTATACTTAGAGTAAAGTTATGTATGGCGATGATAGTATTCACAAAATTCAAACAAATTAAATTTTGTCAGATCCATTGATAAAGTCTTTCTTTTGAGCTAAGTATGAATGGTCACACTTCAGCTGTAAGACTTTATTATTCTAGAAATGGGTTTTTGATTTGGACTTGGTATTTGGATATTGGACATTATAACAACAACTATTAGATAATGTTATGATATATTAGGATATAGTCATCACATTAATACTTGTTGTGTTCTATATTAACATGTTTAATCCATGAATAATGTTATTATTCTAAAAATTCATAGTCGGTTATAATTGTCGGAGCAGTTATGAAGTAAGACTAATATGAATTGGATTGGTTGACTCTCACTAGATGAAAGTAGGCAAGTGGTTGTAACCAACTTTTATAGACACTTGTCAAAGAACTAGTATTGAACTGACCCACATGAAAATCATCTCATGAATCGCTATCATGAATGATACTTGATTAAAAGGTACTATCTTTGTATCCTTAACACCTGAGATACATAGTGGGACTTGAGTGTAGGGAGTACTATGCTTTGATATGGTCCAATGTTGTTCCTTAACCGGGCAGTTATAAAAGCCATTTTCAGGGATGGTGTGAACTATGCAAGAGGCTTATGTAGTCAAGATGGGATTTTTTCCTCTTATGTGTTGAGAGTTAGACATTTAAGGCACCTTACCAAAAGTTGAACAACTAATGAGATTGATCGCTATCCGAATCTCATGTTCAACATGATGTCTGTAGCAAAAGGATAACTGATAAATTTACTTTATACACCAATTGTAGCTTTGAGCTTTTCGGGAATTAGGCGTTGATAGAATGGCACAAAGTCATATGTTGTTAGGGGCAGTGAAATGTTGCTAGACGTTCACCACTATCTATATCAGTCTAATATGAGTCTTGCGCAAGTGGGAGATTGAAAGGTCTACTATGCTCAAGAGTCTTATTAAAGTGAAATTGCTAATTTACATATGATACTAATGGGTCACACTAACAACAACTTGATAAAATTGAGTATTTATTAGAAATTGATTTTAATAAATATTCAATCAAACTCTTATAATTAAATTGGAAATTATTTATTTCATGAAAATAATAATTTTCATAAGCAAGTAAATATTACATAATTCATATGGTATGAATTAATAAGTTATGTACAACTTTTTGGACTAGTTGAAACCGTTTTGTCTTTTACTTAAAAGACAAAGTTTATATTTTATAAAACTTGAGTTTATAAAATTTAAACTAACTCTTCTTTTTATTTATAAAATTCTGAATATTAGATAAAGATAAAGGAGTTACGGGCTTTCCATTAGTTTGTTCAAAAGAAATGAAGTATGTGAGACATGTTTATGACATGAGGACATATGTTCTTAAAGAGTTAATACCTAATGGTTAATACTTTCACTTTATGCATATAAATGAGAGGCTTGCGTTCTTCAAATGTGGCTCATTCCTTCCTTCATCTTAAAACCGTAACATGCTTAGAGCATGTTACTCTCTCCCTTTTGTTCTTCTGTTCATTAAGAATACTTGCATCTTCATGCTTTCTTTAAGTTCATATTGGTTATAAACTTAAAGCTTAAGGGTTTAAGTGTTTTGGACTAGCATCTAAATCAAGTTGAGTCATTGTTTGTGTCTCAAAGGTTCCACATTCTTCATCAACTTCCAAGCCTCCCAAGAGGACCCAAAGAACTACAAATGTTGTCATTTCTTCACCTCTTCTTTGGTTGGTGTTTAAAATCTTTCTACAACTTGCAAGAAGATCCTTGGTGGGTATAAAATGTTTATGTTATTTCAAAAATTAAAGTCTTCCGTTGCCATATTTTTCAAGTTTATGAAACTATTTTTGAACAAAAACCCAACATTAGCGAGGAACCGGTCTCTGCACTGGCAGAACTTCTGAACCGAAAGCTCTATTTCTCGGGGCTTTTCGGCGCTCCGGGACTCGCTTCTAACACCTAGGGATGCTAAGGAAAGCCTTGAGGGTTTGGGGGTGTTTGGGAGAGAAGTGGTGAGAAAGGTGTGAAGAAATGAGGTGATTTATGCCTCTTTATGACGAATTTTGGGCGTTCGTAGGCCATGTGTCACCATCTTGTGGCAAGGCGTGGGGAAGATGCAGTGGCTCAGATCGAGCCACGTGTCACTCGCTGGTTACTCCAAAAACTAATTATCTTCTAAAATCTGTAACTTTCACATACGAGCTCCGTTTTTGACGTTCTTTATATCCACGCGTAGGTATCGACGGGATCTATAACTTTTGTTTACATTCTGTCAGCTAATTTTGACTTTATTTTTAAAGTTATATTTTAACAAACTTAGACAATTAAAGTCCATTAAAAAAATTATAACTATGTCATCTGACGTCCGATTTCGACTGTGTTTATATCGTTGAGTTCATATTAATGAGATATTCAATTCTTATTTAGGTTGCATCGGCTAAAAATCAATCGATCTAAAATTCAATTTTCGGGTTGTGCACTACTATGCTAAATCTTAGAAAAATCATAACTTCCTCAAACGAAGTCAGATTTGGACGTTCTTTTTATGTACGTTCTCGGTTTAACATATACTACGACTTTCGTTTAGATTGCTAAGGCTAAAAAGTATCTTATCAAAAATTCACTTTTTATGATACGTAGCGTCATTCCGGTTTTGTCGCAAAACTTCGACGGGTCATAACTTCTTTGTTATAAGTTGGATTTCAGCGTTCTTTATATGTACGAAATCCTTGTGACATATACTATATTTTCGTTAAGATTATATATTCTAAATAATATTCTATCAAAAAGTCATTTTTAACGCTTATTGTCTCTAAATTAACTAGCCCGAATCTGCGGGCGTTACACATGTTTTTGATTGGTTGGGGCACATTTTGACCTTTTCAACGGTCCTTTTTCAAATTCATTTTTTTTTCTAAATAACCCTATATTTACATATCACTTTTTACAAAACCTCATTCACATTTCTTTATATTTTACCATCTTTTTTTTTTATCAAATCCTCTCTTCTTCCAAAAAGCCTACCAAGGAAAAAACACCCACTAGAAACACCACAACCTCAAGAGCTCCGTACGATCAACCGATTTATTCGCCTCCTTATTATCACTATGGCGGTATGCTTTCGTATTATTCACAACAAATTTCACAACCACAACGACCAAAACAACCACTTCCACAAACGCAACCACAACCAGACCCAGATTTTAATTCGTTTGACTTTTTGTCTCAAGCAGAGTTTTTTCAACAAGCACAATCACAACCACGAACAATCATTTCTGATTCCAAATAGGAATTCGTTCAAGAAACTCAACCTACTCGAGCACCAAGTAAAAGAAAAGAGAAGACGACGACTAAAGGATGGGAATCCCTAGAAGTGTTAGTGTTGGCACAATCATGGATCGATATTTCAGAAGATGCGAAGACTAGGAATAGACCAAAAACATGACTGTTTTTTGATTCGGGTTTTACATAGGTTCCACAAAGGAATGAACCGTGGAGAATATCGTTCAAAACATATGTTCCACAAAGGAATGAACTGTGGAGAATATCGTTCAAAACATCAAGTGTACTCGAAATGGGGAAGATGAACAAGGAAGTCATGTTGTTTAATGATTTGTATACCAACATGAAAAGTCAATGGAGAAGCGGAGAAAGCGATGATGTGATTTTGCAGAAAGTGTTGAAAGTGTATCAAAAAGAAAAGCTTGAAGGCTTTCAAGTTTCTTAAAGTTTGGAATCTGGTGAAAGATAACAAGAAATGGCAAAACAACATAACATCCAACAAGCATATCAACAGTGGTTCAAAACGCTTAAGAACATCTGAATCCGACCACACTACATCCGATGCTCGTATTCAGTCCGACCTCAATGAAGATGAACCCGTTCCAATTTCACCACCTTCCCAACTAATGGGAAGGGATAAAGAAAAAAAGCAAAAGCAATGGCAAAACGTCAGATTCAGATGAGTTAAAAGAAATGAGGGCCAATATGAAGGGTATAAAAGAAAGAATGGACAAAATTTTGCAACTTGCTTCTCAAAGAGAGCTTCGAAAACAAAAGGGATAACGACTACAAAATACTAACGATGAACACATCGCAGATGACTGAGGAGGAGCTTGAAATTGCATTGGCAATGAAAGCCGATCTCAAAAATTGTTATGCTAATAAATAGGTTTAATCGTTTCATGTTTGTCTTTTTAAGGTTGTAGGTTTAAGTTTTTATGGTTATTTTTATTTATTTATTTATTATTAAATTTCATGTAATGTTTTTTTTTGTAAGTAATGTAATGTATGTATTTTAATTTTTAATTAATGAAATGTTATGATTTTTATGAAAATTAAAGTTATTAGTTTAATTAAATTGTTAAAAAAAATGTGTCACCATTTTTTGAATTTTTTGGATGTGACAAGGAACCACACTTTGGTGATGTAGCGTTTATGTGACAATGTGACAACATAAGAGAGTATGCCACCACTCCCTCTAGCCTTAAACATACATTTAACACCATATAATTTCACATAAAGCTTTTCAAAAAATAAAAGTTTAATTCTTATATATGAGAGCTTTTGCAAAGAAATTATTAATTCTATGAAAACATGATACTCTTATTTTCTAAAAAATTGTGATAATATCTAATTATCTATTAGGATTTATGTTTGCAAAAAAAGCGTTTTCTCTTGATGAAAATATAAATTTTTATGTAACAAACATTTTTAAAATTTAAACTATAATTTATTAAGGACCTACAACATAAACAAATTAAGTAGAGACCTACACTAAAATTACCATTACTAATTTACCATAGGTTTAAAATAATCATATCTTAGCCTTCTCTTTGCTTCGCTTAATTATTAGCCCTTACCAGGCTCCCAATTGAACTCACGGCGAACTTCAACCGCTCCAAAGGATTCACAGCGGCCACCGTCTTGTACAAATAGCTCTCCAATATCATCTTCTGCGCATATTCATGCCGAAACAACTCCACTACAACCTCCTTCCCCATATTCGACCTATAAAACACCTTATCCACCATATCCATCTTCTTAAACGTCGGCCCATATTTTGTATCCCATTTCTCCAGATACCTCCTCAAATCTCTCTCATTCACCATCCTCCTCCCGTTCTCCGATCCCTCCACTATCGCCTCCGCACACATCCGCCCGCTTTTTGCTTCAAAATATATCCCTTCACCGGAGCCTTTCATAACATACCCGGCGGCGTCTCCTACCAACGCTACCCTCTCCACCACTCTCCTCGGTCGAGGGTGTTGTGGCATGGGGTGAGCTTCCACACGTATGATCTTTCCTCCTTGAATCTTTTCACCCACACGGAGGCGCGTGGCGAGCTGGAGTTTTTCAATGTCTGGTTTATGTCTCAAGGTTCCTGTTCCGACGTCCACGTGGTCTGATTTCGGATACACCCATCCGTAGAAGTCAGGTGATATGTCACTTCCGACGTACATCTCGGCTAGATTCTCGTAGTACTTCATTTTGTTGTCTGGGATCTTGATGCGTTCTTGGATAGCTATAAGGTATTCATAAATCTCCGGCGTCAATGGATTTTGCGACACGGGAATTTGCTCCGTCGGCACCAATTACGGCATCAACTTCGATACTCATCCTTTCTCCGGCGGGTTTTCCGTTGTAGGTGTTGTAATGGAGGACGTATGGTTCGTTTCTGTCTTGGGGTTTATCCATTTTGACGAAAAGTCCGTTAATGATGGTGGCGCCGGAGGCTACAGCGCGATCACGGAGGTAGGTGTCGAGGACTTCCCGACGGACCATTCCGATGTACTCATGGGGTTTAAGTGTTTTGCCGATGGTGACGGAGACATTTGACGGGGAGATGATCTTCAGATTGGTGACACGGCGGTCAATTATATCCATCGGCAAGTCAAATTCTTCGACCATGCAAAGTGGGATGGATCCACCGCAGGGCTTGGCATTGTCCAGTTTGCGCTCGTAGAGGTAAGTCTCTATTCCGCCTTTGGCTAGAGTTTCGGCAGCTGCGCCACCGGCAGGACCACCGCCGACCACTGCAACACGAAGATTTCGTCCAGTGATTGTGGGACTGGACTTGGCGGCGACAACGTTAAGACGGCGGTAGTGGAGTTGGCTTGGTACAAGGCATTTAGATGGAGTGGTGATCGAGTGGTGGTGGTGTTTTTCCATTGAAGATTGGTGGAGTCCGATGAACGACTTGAATGTAATTGAGGCCATTGTGGATGTCTTAAGAGAGGTAAACTTTAGAGCGGGGTTTTCTGATTTGCAAGATCCATGGATTCATTCGTTTAAATAGAGACGTTTTCTGATTATTTTAATTTTAATTATAATTTTATTTTAAAATGTCTAATTGAATTTAGAATAAATTACATAATTTGTTATATGGTGTTCGTTAATATAGTGTTGTTTTCTTAACTTTTATTATTATTATTAGATGTGAGACCCGTATATTATACGGGTTGATTAAAACATAATGTTAAATATGAGCGATTAAATGAGAAATTTATTTGAATTTGAAATATGAAATAAGTGAAAATTATTGGAAAAAAAAGACATGCAAAAAATAAATTAATTAAATTTATGTGTTTAATTGTCCGACGCGTATACTAAACAAATTATTATAACAAAATGTTAAATACAAAGGTTTAAAGTATAAATTTATTTGAAATTGAAATTGAAATTTCAAATTTCAAATTTGAAATTAATAGTCATTATGGTAGGTTTAATTTATGTAAACTAAATTAATGATATATTGGAAATGAATAATGAAGTAAATGACAAGTGGAAAATAAATATATATCAAAATTATAACAAAATGACATGTAACCAATTGAATAAGAGAAAGACAAGTGGCAATAACATTTTCATTTATTAGGGTAAATTATTATTATTATTATTATTATTATTATTATTATTATTATATCATGGATGGTAATTATGATTTGATTTTGATTGCATTTTGGTCTTTAAATGAAAAAAATTGTATGTGTTTATCTAATTTATTTTGACTTTAATTTTTTTTATAAAACTCTATATATTTGATTTTCTACTAATTAAACTTAATTTATTTCTTAAGCTTTCATGAAAAACTGTTACAAACAAGAAGACAACTTTATAAAAGTACAAAATCTTATAAATACAAAATCGGAAAAAAATACAAGGTATTTTAGGAAAAAAATTACGATTAATTCGGAAAAAAACATCAATATGTAAGATCTTTTATGATATTAACTCAATTTTTTATTTGTTAATACATCATTAATAAAAGCACTCATACATCCTTTATAGAGTTGTACATTTCAATATTTTAATGTACAAATTGTTGTGTATGAAGAAAATTTATTGTGTATGGATCAACTCCCTTAATAAAAACTAGATACAAGCACCCATAACTCACCCCCTTATACATTCCATTGTATTCCTCTATTTTCTTTCTTGTTTGTGACACCGTCAAAACATAATTGAGCAAGACATTGTTGCCACATATTCTCACATCTTCTTGTCGGTCATAACCATGTTGTAACACCCGTAATTTTTACATATGTATTAATACTATTTTCTAGGAATTTATCAAAGTATTATACAATATTGTTTAAAAACTAGAGCTTCAAAAACCATATAAAGTTTTCCCAGAGAGCTAACGGGTGTACAAACCATATCAAAACCATAATTAAAGCAACAAGATTACATTATACAAAATATATATCTAGTCCATGCTCTTGCTCCTACCATCTCCACTCGTTTTAAGGTTTGCTTCTCAAACCTGGAATACATGGCAAAACAACATATATCAGACACACAAGTCGCGTGAGCTATAAATTAATCAATTTAATTTAATTTAACATTTACCACATAACATATATCAATTTCCTTTAACGACCCAAATTGGGCTCAGTCGCATAAAACGACACATATGCCAACCTTTATCGGAGAACAAATCATTTGGGCAGGGTCTTGTTAATTCACTACTAGAATATAGGCCTTTAATGACACGCGAACCATGACACACAGTGATTTATGATACGTAATAGTGTGTGTGTCCTAAAAATGATGTCATCTTCCAAAAATTTAAAGGATTTAGGACACGCATTTTTGCGTGTCCTAAACTTAATGTCAGAACAAAAGAAATAAAAACACGGAGGGCACCCATTATAAAAAGTGTGTCGTGTAAGCATGGCCACTTTATAATTTTTAAAATGAGCGCGCATTCCAACTGTTTATCTTATCAAAAAATCGGAGAGACCATTATCTAGGGCTTTTTTTTTTCAAGGAGTGCTCTCTGCAAAGTTCGCTACCTCCGCTCATCTCCTACCAGCGACCTCCGTTCACCTCTTTCCACTGGCAACCTCGGGCCCACCTCACCTTACTGGAGACTGCGATGACTTTTCAAGTTAACAAGCCTTCGTTCAAGAGCCAACTATTTACGGCTCCCCACACTCACATAGACTACGATTTAGGGCTCGTTACATTGTACCCGTGTCGGGCTTACAAGGAGATTAAGCATTTTGCGACTTCTCCTTGTTTCCATCTGTGAACTAATGGAGCCCTTGGTACAGGTGACCTTGCCTCCTCCACAAATCAAATTGTAAGTTTTTATAATTTTTTATAATTTTATGGAATTGGGTGCTCATATTATTTTCAAAAAAACTTGTTTTTAACCTATTATCGTTCTTTTGTTTTTGCTTGTATCTGGAAAGTCTTTATTCTTGATGGATTTTTTTGCCATCGTGATTGATTTTATTTCCATGGTGTGAACTGTGATGTTGAACTCCAGTATTAGGGTTTTATATGCTTTATTTTTTTTCAGAATCTTTTTTTGAGTAGCTCCTCCTTCAACTCCCAAGATTAGTAAACTGATAATGGTTTGTTGGAGATCGTATATAGGGAGTCACCATAAAGTGAGGTTGAAGGTTTGCAAATAGGTTCTCATGGATGGAAAGTGATCCGACCAACACTGTTTCTTTTCCTTGCAATTTGGGTTAAAAATAGCATCCTCACGATCCCCATTTACATGTGCAACCAAATCTTTACTGCTTCTCCTTCTTTGGATAAATACTCATGGCCACTAAGGTGGCTAACATCAATGCTTTAATAGAATAGGTGAATAAGTTCTACAACCTTTTCTGCAAATTTGATTGATTTATTAAGAGTAATAATTGACTGTTCTATTAATCAAATCTTCTAATAATTGATTGTTCTATTACAAAGGTTCCTGTCTATATAATAATTTTAAATAAAAGAAATGTGGAGCAGGTTGCTGAAGCAATCAAGATTTTGACATCAAATGAGAAAATGAAAACAATATTGGTGAACATTTTTGGAAGAATAATGAAATGCAAGATTATAGCTAGTGGAATCTTTTCCTGTGTCTTGATTTGTGTAACCAACCGAACAGTAAATTTAATGATTTTGAAGCTACAGTCAAAAATCTGAAATACCCTTTGTAGCTAAAATACAGTTTTAATATTTACGACTCTAATTTGACACTTCTCCGGAAATGATTATCTTGCAGATTAACATCAAATAAACCAAAATTGTTAATCATTTTATTTCTATTGTTTTTTTTTTGGTGTGTAGATCTTGAGAAATTTGGGAGTTAAGATAAAGAAGTTGATGACAATCAAACCTGTTACGTGCTAGGTACACTAGGCGTACGAGGTGCAAGGGTTTCCTACTATTCTCTTTTTTGTTGATGGTGTTCACAAGCCTTATCTTGGTCAACGAACCAAGTTAGTCTCTCCCTATTCATCTTAGTGTTTTTAATCATGATTTTGTGCATAGAATTTATGGAATCAATGATGTTAATTTCCTTTTCCTGGTGCTTTACATTGCGGAGATGCTATAGTAACATGGATAAAGAAATGACAGGACCTACTATGTAAAACATGAACGGTTGTCTAAGTTTTTTTCTTCTTCTTTAATGCATATCACTTATACGGTTGGCTAAGATTTTTTTATATTTCTTATATGAGTTAACAATTAACAAATAATCTTGAAAACTTCTTTATATATATATATATATATATAATATATATATATATATATATATATATATTATATCTATATATATATATATATATATAGGCCTAAATTATTCTATTTACACTAATTATTGTGTTATTATATGCATAAATGTGGGCCAATCATTTTACTTAATTTAAGAAAGTGATTAATATATAATTATTAAATTAAAGATAATTGAAAAATACCATCTAATTTCATTCTAAGGGTATTTTAGACAATTGAGATAAATTTAAAAAAGGAAAATTTCATATTTTCGGGGATAATTAACTCTCTTGATTTTAAAATTCTAATTTTTTTAATTACTTTAATTTTAAATATAACGTAATTTTTATAATTAAACCCGATTTTATTCTGTTAGAATCAGATTCTCTACAAATTTCAGGATACATGTTTCTATTAGAATGATATTCTATGCGAATGCCAACATCAACTAATAAACACATTTTTGGATACAACTTCAAATTTTTCATTACATTCTTAAAAAAAGTAAAAACTTTATATAATAGTCTATGACAATGAAATACTCACTAATAACAAATAAAATTATGTATATTATTCGCCCTTAATATTCTAGCAGAATATATTATTACATATACTCCTATCATTCTATTGTAGATTATTCTATCAGAAGAATAGCTCTTTCCTTGATCATCCATGAAATTATACATTTAACGAAAATAACTGTCATGAATCAAATCATGTAAGAATAATATTCTTTGAGAATGCTTAGAATCACTTTCAAATTTGCGGTCCGTTCTTCAAGCATCAACTTCTGTCAAAACAAAACCAAATTGTAGTTTAGATTCCAACAGAATTGGAATTCATGATTCCATTCCAACAGAATTGGAATTCATGATTCCATTTCAGAAACATTGACGAGCTCTTGAGAAAACAAAGCAAAAATCTTTGTAACGCTTTTCATTTGTAGAAGAAAAATTGACACAACATTAACATGCAACATACAAAAAATTTATGAGTTTATTACCATCCATACTTGGCTTGTGTTTCTGTTTTTGTGAGAAAGCCTTTTGAGTGCCTTTCTGCCAATTCCATCTCTTTAGATTTCATATCAAAGTATAAAGATCCAATCTGATGTTTCCTCTTGTGCAGCTTCGTTGGCTTCCCCTTCCCTGAAGAAGCCGGCTGAAAATAATTCAGAATAGGAGACTATAAGTACAATTCTAGAACATCAA